CAGGGCTGTGGTAGATGCAGCGCGTGAATCTTGGATTGTGCGCACTACCTCCTGAGGGAGACCCATCCTCTCTAAGCGGGACCGCTCAGCGGCCAGACCCACAGGTGCTGGCCTATTTCCGGGTAACTCCTGATCGCTCCTCCTGCTTGAAGGAGAGCATCTTCCCTCCATGGCAGTTTCCACGGGCGACCTGACAACAGACGCTGCAGGACCGGGAACCATGGTGCGTTCACGCGCTCGGGAGCTACCAGGAGAGCTGTCAGTCCCTCCTCCTGAACTCGGTTCAGGAACCGTAAAATCAGAGGAGGAGGGGGGAACGCGTACAGAAGCGTTTTGGGCCACGGGCTGTGGGCAAAAGCATCCACCCCCATCGGTGGATCGTCTCGAGGGCTCAGGGAAAACCATAATTGGCACTGAGCGTTCTCTCGCGTCGCAAACAGGTCCACAGCTGCTTTGCCAAACTTCTGCCACGTCTGAAACATCAGATCTGGATGGAGGGTCCAGTCCGCGTGACGTGGGCCGCCCCTGGACATCACGTCTGCTCCTCTGTTCAGAACGCCGGGTATGTAAACCGCTCTGATGGAAAGCAGGTTTTGGTGAGCCCAACACAGTAGCTTCCGCGCAATGTGTAACATCTGGGCTGAACGCACACCCCCCTGGCGGTTTATGTACGCAGCAGTCACCATGTTGTCTGTGTGAATCAACACGTGTTGATTCTGTAGCACGGGAGCAAAATGTTGAATCACATTCAGCACTGTGCGACACTCCAAAACATTGATGTGGGCTGATGTGCGGTGGGGCCACAGCGCCCTTACTGCTTGAGATAGGCATGTCCCCCCCCAACCTGACAGAGACGCGTCCGTGAAGACAGACACGTGTGACGTGGGTCTGCTGACGGGGACTCCCTCTGACAGAACCAGGGTGTTTCCCCAGTGTCGGAGGTCTGCTCTCACGGAGGAAGGGACAGTGATCATCCGTCTCTTTTGTTTTACTGGATCCACACGCAGACGCGTAAACCACCTCTGGAGGCGTCTCATGTGTAACAAACCCAGCGGGACCACTGTGTGAGCTGATGACATCATTCCCAACAGCTTCATGACGGAGACAGCTGTTACCACTTTGCCAGGTCTTACGTGGCGTAATTGGTTTTTTAGAGTGTCGATTCTTGTTTGTGATAAGCGAGCCGTCATGGTAATTGAGTTTAATTCCACTCCCAGATAAACAATTGTCTGGGCCGGGAAAATCGAGCTCTTCTTCCAGTTTATGGCGAAGCCCAGATTTAGCAGGTGTGATGCTAACACCTGAGCCTGTATCAATGCTTCCTGTCTGGAGTGAGACAGGAGCAGCAGGTCGTCCAGGTAAAACAAAACTCTCATCCCTGCTCTGTGCAGTGGATGCAGAGCTGTCTCCACACACTTTGAGAACGTACGAGGTGCGAGGGAGTACCCGAAAGGCAGCCTGTTGTACTGGTACTTCATCCCTTGAAAGGCGAAACGCAGAAATTTTCTGTGTTTTGGGATGATTGGTATGTGAAAATAAGCATCTTTTAAATCGATGGAGACAAACCAGTCGTTTTTCTGGATGTTGTCCAACAGCTGTCTGTTCGTCAACATGTGAAAAGGTCTGTTCATGATCGCTTTGTTGAAAGCTGACAGATCCAGAATCGGTCTCATCCCTCCGGTCCTTTTGGGGACCAGGAAGTAGCGTGAGTAAAACCCTGTGTTTTCCTCCTCGTTGGGAACTCTTGAGATTACACCTTTTATCAGAAGCTCTTGGACTTCTGCATTTAAGGCTGAGACTTGGTCTGGTGATGACAGGACCGTCTCTATAATTCCTCCGAACGGAGGGGGTCGGGTTGCAAACTGCAGCGTGTAACCCTTGCATAACACTCTGTCCATCCATCTGTCCGGTGAGCATGTTTTTAGCCACTCTGCGTGACGTTCGTGGAGTGGACGTGCGTTTAAATGATGTGCCGTGTTTTGAACGGATGTCATCCAAACCTCCGCCTCGACCGCCGTCATGCGTCGCGGAAAAGTTTTCCGCGTGACCCAAGGCGAGGCTTCCTCGAAAGGGCTGTTCTGCGCGTGCCCGTGCGCTGTGTCTGGATCGCGGGCCAACCTTCATGTCCGGGCGGGGCGGTGTGCGCTGAGGCGAGGCGTGTGTCAACTGGTGACGTCGAGAGGCTGCACGTTTAACGTCGCTGTGCGAACGTTGAGAGGTGGAGGGCGTGACGTCATCAACGCCGTGCTGTCGAAGTGAAGGTTGTGAGCTTCGCGGGAGCGCACGTTTCCTCTGGAGGGACGCGCGCCGCTCTCGCTGAGGGCGGGGCCCGTCATTGGATTCATTCAGCTGTCTCACGCTTATGTCGCCGTGAGCTGCTGATCGCTGAGACGCAATGGATGACGGCCGTTCGCGTTTATTCAGGAGAGGCGTGTGTTGTTTTTGCTGAGAGCGGGGACCTCCACCGGACCCGGCCTGCGGTCCCACATTTATCCCAATGTGAGCCGGTGAGCGCCGGGCAGCTGTGCGTGCATCATCGACACAGCGCCGTTTGGATGGAGGCTGCTTGTCTCGCTCGGGTGCACGTTTAACACCGTTTGAGTGGTGATCGTGCGGGTCTGATTGACAACAAGATATTTCGCTTACCGTGGTGTCACGTGAGCGTCTGGGCATGTGAAGGAGCGGCGGTGGGTTTAAAAAACCTTTATTTAATGCCACCGGCTCTCTCTGTGTGGAGGATGTGTGTGTAGCGGCTGTGAGCTCATCCGAACTTACAGACTGGCTAAAAACAGGCATTTTGATTTTTGAAAAATCATTTATTTCACTTCCTGTTTCGTTCATACACACATCCCCCGCAGACCGTCATTTCTTAAACCTTCTCCCTCGTGAGCTCTGCGGTTTGTTTGGCCCGAGCGCCGTCTGCAGGCGATCTCTGGGGAAGCGCTGAAGTGCAGGCTGCCGGACTGAGGAGGGGTGGTCTCTGGCGGGCGGGGCTGGTGGTGGAGCTGGGCGAGACGAAGCTGCTGCTGCCGTGGAGCGTCGGTGTTTCTGCCTCTGCTCCCGACGGTCTCTCCAGCGGGCTGGGGGACGGGATGAGCCGCGCGGCTTGATGAGATGGCGTACCGCTTCCGACATCTCCTCCGACTGCTTAGAATTCGCCAGCATGGTCTTCAAGCTGCTTCCGAACAGCGCGTCCGATGAGATGGGGCCCTCCATGAGGTCCTTGTGCAGCTTTTCCGGCAGCAATGGAGAGTGACGGAGCCAGATGGAACGTTGGATTACCGTCATCCATGCTGCAATCCTCGACAGGCAAACCGTGGAAGCGGCGCACATGTTGAGGACGGCGTCTGCCGATTTACACAGGGAGCTCTTTGTCTCCTCCGGCAGGTCTGAGGCCTCCAGCCTCTTCGACATGCTAAATGCTAACAGCGCCACGTTGTTGTTAGCCGCGGCCGCCTGAAAAGCACACTGGTGAGCTCTGTTGGAGAGCGCGGTTGCCACCTGGTCGTGTTTCCCCGGAGGGACGGGACGCTTCTCCAGCCTGGACATCTTCGCTCCGAAGGCTTCCGCGAGGCTTGGCTCAAGGGGGGGTACCGAGGGATAGCCCCGCTCGGTGAACCCCTCCACTCTGGTGATGGGGGCGTAAGTGGAGACGGGCGCCCTTAACCTACCAGGAGCGGCTGCGGCCTCGTTCCAGTACGCTGTCACCGCTGGAAAACGAGGCCAAATGGGATCAGGACGGCGAGCCGGCGTGGAGCCAAACCTTCCCGCAAGATCATCCGATCTGAGCGGGGGGGGGTGAGGGGACGGAGAGCCCCTTAACGCTAGCAGCTTCCCGGATAATGGCGGGCAGCTCCGAGAGGAGCGCGCCCACGGCAGGGAGCGATGTGGTCGCTGAAGCGGGAAACCCCGGGGGAGTCGAGCATCCGCTCGGCCTCCCTCTTTCCAACACTGTGCTCCCCGGGGGGGAACGAGCGTCGGGGCTGCTGCTAGCGTCACCGGTCCCAGAGGAATCATCCGATTCACTCTGAGAGCCGGCGTCGAAGAAATCCATGGCGTCGTCCAGCGAACAGTCTCCCGCCACGGACAGGCAGTCCTCGATGGTAGCCTTAAACAAGGCTGCTCTCCTCTGCCTTTCCTCCGGTGGAAGCTCGTCACAGAGGCGACAGGAGGAAGCGCGGGCGACGTGGCGGGGACCCAGGCATCCCTCGCAGGTGTCGTGCCGGTCGAAGCTAAGCAAGTAGCCGGTCTTGCAAGAGGGACACAAACGGATGGTGCTGGAGCTGGACATCTCGACGAAAAGGTCAGTTGTTCTTTGTTTTATTAGCTTGCTGAAGAAAAATGGGAGCAGATTACCCGCTCTTAATGTAATTTATACGGATCGGGTGGGGCCCACACAGCAGGTGGGCGTGGACTAATTTTTTCAGTATGATGCTTGCGCATAACGGGATAAACCCACTAAGCGACAGCCTTAAAGGGCGAAGCCTATATGAAATAGAACGTGACTTATACAGCGATAAATACGGTACTCCACATCTCGCATGAGATCATGGAAAACGTTCACAGAGTTTGATCAAAACGGCTCAAACTTTGTTCCTCATTAGATCAGTTTTAGTTGATCATTAAAGGCTTGAATGTCTTCAAAGGTTTTAGCTCTAAATGAGCAGTCAGGACGATGTTCTTCATGTTGACTCGCTCAGTGCATTCAGACATTCGGTTGATAATCTGCACGTACAACTGGACGTGCGCTTCTGAAGCATTTACCTTAAGGTCCCTGTGCATGAGACCTTTGCTGTGCAGGAAGTCGACAGCCTCCGCGATCTGCAGGAAGATGTCGAGACACTCGTTGAGATCCCTCTGCTCCCTCAGGCAGCGCTGACCCATCCAGTCCTTCAGGTTTTCCTTTCGACAAAGCTGCATCTGGATGTACAGGTACACCTGGAGAACAGGCACGTTTTCAGTACATTCACACCTTTACAATTTTAATGCCCACCCAGGGGGCAATGTTCTTTTTTACAACCTCAGTTCTGAAGCAGCTGAGACTTGTGAAGCCTAAATAAAGTAAAATGCAGTGATGTGAAAATCTCACATCCAATTTTTTTCCCCACATCGGAACATATTAAACATTTCCAATGGTTAAACTAAAAAAGTGAAAATATATATATTGTTTTTTCACATTATTTGGGGGTGGAGACAAAAAGCATTTTTAATTTGATGGCAGCAACATTTCAGTTCAGACAGTGGTAACAAAAGACTAAATCAAATGGCAGCAGGTCAGTGCGAGGCCTGGGGAGAAAATAAACCTTTTAAAAGTAAAAATGGGCAGAGGTTCACCTGTCTACGAAAGAATGTGTCTAAAAATAGTGGAGCAAATTGCGAATAATGTTCATCAAATGAAAACTGGGCAGTTTCTGATCATCCCTTCATCTCCAGTCCATCGTCAAAAGATTTCAAGAATCAGGAGAAATGTTTGTGACAAGGCTGAAGACCAACACTCCAACACTGAAAGCTCATGATCTTCAGCCGCACTCAATTAAAAACCGGTTTGATTTTGTTACGGGCATCACTGCATGGCCTCAGGAACACTTCCACAAATCACGGTCTAACCAGGAAATCCAGACCTGGTCCTTAAGGTCCACTATCCTGCAAGTTGTACTTGTTTCCTGTTCCAACACTGCTGGTTCAGTGGTTGAAGTCTTCATGTTGTGCAGAAGCCTCTTCATCACCCACTGATTCAAACTGCTGTGTCGGAGCAGAGGAACATCTAAACATGCAGAACAGTGGCCCATGAGGGCCAGGATCACCACTGGTCTGCCACCTGTGACCACCGAGAATCATCCACCCTGTTCTAAAGTGGGGCTGTACATCAACTAAACTGTAAACTTTAAAAGTCTCTTAGTTAAGAAAAACATTTTTAATACAGAGGTTACAGTGATGAAACTTCATCATAAGTAGTACCTTAGGGGACGTCTGGACCCGGGGGGTTGGAGGAGTTGTTGGAATAGCCAGTGTAAGAGAGGTTGGTCCAGGGGGGGTGGAGGAGGACGGTGTGACAGGCTCCTGCCGCCCGACTGGTGAAGAGGACAAATTGTTCTTGGTTAACGTGTGGGGACCAGCTGCGCTGCTTTCAGAGGCCGAGTCTGCATCGGCGTCTCGATCACAACCAGAATCCTCAAACACAATGTCGAAGGAGGAGGAGGTGCAGTCGCTGGGTCCACGCAGGGGGCAGATTTCAAAGGAGTGGGGGGTGTCCGAAGCTTCTGGGTCAGCCTGGCTGTCTCTCTCAGACATCAGGCTGTCGTGGCCCAACAGGGGCTGGAAGGACATGTCTGTGTCGCTAACACCAAACCCCACCGTGCTGTTGGACAGGAGGACCTGTGTGTCCACAGATGTCTTCAGATTGTCTCCTTCAGGTCCGGCGGGACGGGACACAGAGCTGGACACCGGTACTTTGACTGACAGCACCTCCATGTGGTCAAGAAAGCTTAAAGGCCAGTCAGTTGCACTGAAAGAGATCAAGAAGAACGTGAGAACATTTTTAAAAACAAGATTATAATCATATGAAATGTGTTGACTTGTCAGCAACAATATGGTTCTCATCGCCCCACGGTCACTGAGGTTGAAGGAGATGATGTTTGTTTGTGTTGGTGAAATCACTGGATGTCAAGATGACAGCCACACCTAAAAATGTCAGAAACACCAACATGTCCACAAATAACCTGGTGTCTTTCAGCCACCGCTGGTCCATTTCTTCCTGCCAGCCCTCAGGGGGGCTCTCCTGCCAGGCGTTGAAGTAACGGATAATCCCTGGGTGCTCCAGCTTCGCCAGGGCCTTCACCTCCCGCATGACCTTCTCACGAGCCTGCTCCCTGGACGATGAAAGACAAACAGTGTTTCATCAAACTGCTCTGTAAAGAACGAGTACTTATACTAAAGTCATACTGAAGTGTAGATTAAAGTCTGCAGCAATAAAAGCTGTGAGAAGAACACAGAACTTCATAAAAGATACAAGATGACAGGAATGTTCAAATACATATTCTGAGGATGCTCAATAATCCAGGTAGATTATTCTAACAAGGTAGAGTCAGGTCCTCTGGACGGATTCTTCTTGTTGAAACGTTTCATCTTTTATCCAAGTCTTCAGAGGAGCTGCAACAAACTCAGTCTTATAAATAACACCTTCTCACAGGGCGGCTGTGGCTGAGTGGTTAGAGCAGTCGTCCTCCAATGCAAGAGTTGGGGGTTCGAATCCACCAGCAGTCACATGTCGAAGTGTCCCTGGGCAAGACACTGAACCCCTCATAGCCTCTGATGTGTGTCCCATCAGTGTATGAATGTGATGAAGCTCTGATTAGTCTCTTTAGAATAATGTGTTCAATCATCTTTGTAGAGATCTAGTATAGAGCTGTATGAATGGGTCAATGAGGCACAGATTGTTGTAAAGAGCTTTGAGTATCTTGAAATAAGATAGAAAGACGCTGTATAAGTACAGTCCATTTACCATTTACAGTGGATCAACCAGTTCTTTTCATTCAACCTTTATTTAAACAGGTTAATCCCATTGAGCCTCAAGGACTCATTTACAAGAGAGACCTGATTTAACAAAGAATGAAGACAACAGTGGACAGTCATAAAAGAGGCATACAGATTTTATTTTATTTTTTCAAACGAGCTTGCTGTTTGAGTTAAATTTGCTGTTGACATCCAGAACCAGCTGATCACATGAGCAAGAAGGACCATCAGCCTAACAATGGATCATTAGCACCTGATGGCTGTTTACTGTTCACAGAGGGCTGAGTGATACTAGCAATCACAGCATTGTAAGAGGGGGACAGTTGAACCTGGAGGCTCCACCCCTGTTTAATGATGGACGATTTCTTTTCACAAAGATGGCCTCCTTTACTCCTCTCTCAAACCATCGTTCCTCTCTGTTCAGGATGTGAACATCTTCATCCCTGAAAGAGTGACTGCCTGTTGTTAGACTGATGGTCCTCCATCATGTGAACATCTAGTTCTGGATGTCAACAACAAACTGGTTGATCCACCATGAGAAGGTGATATTTATAAGACTGAGTTTGTTGCAGCTCTTCAGACTGAAGAAGTCCTTTGGATAAAAGATGAAACGTTTCAACAAGAAGAATCCTCCAGAGGACCTGACTTAACTTTGTTAGATACAAATATATAGTTAAAAGCTTAATTAAAATGTTTAAATTAAAATAAGGTTTCTATGATGCTTATGTCTAAATTGCAAGAACTTTTTGACTTTTTTTTGGTTTTGAAACAACTAAAATATAAACCAGAGTAGTTATATATTTGTGTACAAAATTATACAACCTTAAAGTATAGTGCTTTAACATAGCTTTATTTTAAAATGTGATTTAGGTGGGAGTAATATTATATGAATGATCAATTTTGACTGATTAATACCTTTTTTTTAGATAATAACTGATAAATATGGCTCTGTGATAACAATAGACTGACAATATTAGTTAAATGATGCTAATGTTTGGAGATTTTTTACAATAAAGATTTTGTAAGAACTTTGGTAAAGACAAATGACATGAAAATATAATTTTTTTGTACCAGGTGTTAAAAATGTAAAAAGAAGCAAAACACATTAAGCATTAACACATTAAGTTCTATTTCGTATAGGCTTCACCCTTTAAGACTGTCGCTAGTGGGGTTTATCCCTACGCGCCCAGCACTGAAAACTTTAGTCCACTCCCGCCTGCTGTGTGGGCCTCACCCCCGGTCCGTATAAATTACGGTGAGACCGGGTAATCGGCTCCCATTTTTTCTTCAGCCAGCTAGCTAGCACTGTCAGAAGAACGAAGAAGGAAAAGTTGTCCAGCTTTGTCCGGCACAACCTTTGCTAAGGATGCCTGGGTCTCCACCACACCAAACTCCTGCCATCCCGGTGAGCTCTTCCTCCCCGAGGAGAAGTAGACGAGCAGCCTGGTTCAAGGTAAGCGCAGAGGAGTGCTTTTCTGTGTCAGGCCGCTACCCGCTGGACGACACCATCGCCGTTTCTAACGTGTTTTCCTCGCGGTAATGGAATGATTTCCTCAAGAAGGCGATGTTAGCAGCAGCCCCGCTGAATGTTTTTCAGAGGAGGGCCGCTACTCGCTGGACGACGCCACCGCCTTTTCTAAAATGTTTTTTCCTCGCGGTGAATCGAATGATTTCCTTGAAAAAAGCGTTGTTGGCAGCAGCTCCGCTGAGTGTTGTTTTTCTGTGGCGGGACGCTATGCACAGGACGACGCCACCGCCTTCTTTGACAGAGAGTCACACAGTGAATCGAATGATTCCTCAGAGAAAGGCGATGCGGAGCTGCCCCCTCCCTCCTGGAGAGCGTAGTGACGGAAGACGAGTGGCCAAGCAAATGCTCAGCCACCTCGGATCTTCCCACGTTGGCGACCACACCGCTCCCAGCCATCGGCGCCCTCCTCTCGGAGCTGCCTGGCATAATCCAGGAGGATGTTAACACAAGGACTTTCCATCCCTCGCCTCCCTCCGCCCTGATCAGATGATCTGGCGGCAAGGTTGGCTCCACTCCAGCTCGTCGCCCTGACCCTATCTGGCCTCGCTGTCCAGCTGTGACGTCACACTGGAACGAGGCTGCAGCTGGGCCCGGCAAGCTGAAGACATCCGTCTCCACCTTCGCCTCCATCTCCAAAGTGGAGCGTTTTACCGATCGGTGTTTTTCCCTCAGTCCCCTCCCTGGAGCCAAGCCTGGCGGTGGCACTTGGGACAAAAGCTTCCAGGATGGACCAGCATCCTGTCCCTCCAGGGAAGCATGACCAGATGGTGACAAGGTCTCCAACTGAGGTCACCAGTGTTCATTCCAGATGGCCGCAGTGAACAACAATGTCGCCCTGCTGGCCTACAGCATCTCTAAGAGGCTGGAGGAAGCAGACATGCTGGAGGAGACAAAGAGCTCTCTCTGTAAAGCTGCTGATGTCATCTTAAACAAGTGCCACCTCTGCGGTCTGCCTGTCCTGCATAGCAGCCTGGATGACAATGATCCAGAGGACCACTTGGCTCCGCCTCTCACCATTCTTGTTTGAGAGGCTGCAGAAAGACCTGCTGGAGGGCCCCATCATCCCAAAGGCACTGTTCGGGCCAACTTCAGGACCATCCTGAGAAATCACAGAGGTCCGAGGAGGTATGAAAGACTGTACACCATCTGGTGACGTCACAGTCCTCCGGCAGCTGGAGGGACCGCCTTGGCCAGCAACAGCACCAGAGGTGCTCCACAGCTGCGGCAGCAACTTCACGCCCCGCTCCTCCGCCGGCCACCTCCACCAGGTAACAGATCCTTGAGGGGAAGGTATGTGTTTTTGATGATGCATGTTTTTTGATATAAAACAGAAACATCTCTGAAAGTAAAGTTTTCATCTGAGACTGTCAGATCAGCTGATCTCTCAGCTGCCTCTCTTCACACATTCCCCACACAGAACGAGCCAGTAACCTCTAAACAGTGTTTTAAATGGCACCACAGTTCAGTAAATATCACAAAACACTCGTCTGCCACGTCAACTAAAATGATATGTTTTCAACAGACCGAGTCCGGTAAAATCCCTCGTTTTCAGCCATAGCCCATTTTTAATTTCTGCTGTTTTCTACCCACTCACAGCGCAGTGGGAGTAAATGTGTTTTCTCCACAACAGCTGCAGCCTCCACCGAAACGGCGTTTCACTCAGAAAGCGCTCACTCCTCTCAGTGTGCGCTGGCTCCCTCAGCTCTATGTGAGACCGCAGCCTGGGCTCAGCACAGAGGCACACATACAGCCCTTTTTTCTGTCGGAGCCCTCCTCGGGTTCCCCCGGAGAATCTCCGGAGCGAGTGTTGGCAGTAAGGATTTTTAGTCTGGTTGACGTTCATGAGAAACATGACACAACACAAATGCATGCCCACTCTCCGAGCGTTACTCAGAGTGGCAGCGAGTGTGTTCCCTGGACAGATGGACGGACCGCCTGATCAGAAGGGGTTACACGCCACAGTTCGCAGCTCAACCCCCACCGTTCAGAGGGATTATAGAGACAGTTCTGTCTTCTCCAGAACAGAGCTCGTCTCTCCAGTCAGAAGTTCGGGAATTTCTGACGAAAAACATGATTTCCAGAGTTCCCAACGGAGAGGAAAATAAGTTGTTTTTTTCTCCCACTACTTCCTGGTTCTGATAAAAAAACGGAGGGATGAGACCCATTCTCGACCTGTTCATGTTCAGCAATTCGATCATGGGGAGACAATTCCACATGATGACAAACAGCTGCTGGAGAACTTCACCAGAACAACTGGTTTTCACCTCCATAGATCTAAAGAGCACATATTTCATATTTCCATCATTCTGAAACACCCCACAAACGTTCTCGAAATGCGTGGCGACGGCTCTGCAGTCGTTACACATGGCAGGAATGAGAATTCTTTTTATCTGGATGATCTGCTCTTATTAGCTCGGTCCAGTTAGAAAGCAGTCGCACAGACCAAAACGCTAGTGTTACACCTGCTAAACCTGGGGTTTTCTATAAACTGAGAAAAACTTCTGTTTGTCCGTCAGAGATGATTGTTTATCTGGAAGTGGAGCTAAACTCAACTTTATCACAGCTGAGAGCCGAAGCTCTGTCAGCTCAGCTCCGCCATGTCAAACCCTGCAGCATAGTGAAAGTTCTGCCTGTCATCTAAAAAAGTTAAATCTGGTCCTCTGGACATTCAAAAAAACAAAACAAAGCAAATCAACAAAAAAATGCAGAAACGTAGGAGTCATCAGGACTCTGTACCACAGAGCAGACAGCGTCCCCACTAGCTCAGGAGCCAGGCAGAAGGAGAAATCCTACACAAGACAGGCTCTAGAGCAATGTGGATATCCTAACTGGGCCTTCCTGAAAGCAGAGAAGAAACCCAAACAGGACTCAGTCAGCCAACAGGTGAAAAGGAGGAACCCAGACCCAGACCAGTGGTCATTCCATAT